TGTGATATGCTTAAGAAAATGTGCATCTGTGAAATATCATCTTTGACTGAAGTTTTGTCTCTTTTGATAATGTCTGACTGGATGTCAGGACATTGTTCAGAGCCTGATTGGATGGTGTGGCCAAGAACAAGTCAAGAGGGAGTATGACACGTATCTTTGACTATGCATGCGTTCATATTGGGACTGTCAGGATCAGAAAGTTTGTTAGGAATCAATAAAGGCATTTAAAACTAACATGAACGGTGCACACTTACTTTTGGTAGAGTTAGCTTCCTCATATAACACCTCTTCTTGACCAAGTCTATTGTTACGATCAAGGAGCGTTAATTCCTAAGGAACTACTCAGCTATTTAAAGAGGTCATTTTGTCTCTTTTATCATTGTGTGTTAGCCTTCCTTCATCTAAGCTCTTATGGCTTTTGTCAGGGTGTGGATAAGTACTGTTTGGGTATGGTTTTATGGGGGATATCTTTGTAAATTGTTGGCTAAAAAGGGGGGGGGGGGGGGGGGGGGGGGGAAATGTCTTGTTTCTATGGTTCTCTATTCAAGTCTAGAGTATTCTTGCAGTTGTTTTAGCATGTTGGGTAGAGTATCTGAGTCTTCCTCATTGCTCTGAATTTTTTTATGCCTTATGATCTGAGTTATGAATACAATTGTGTCATGTGTTATGAGTTACCTAAGGCCTAAACCTGCCCCAGAATCTATTGGATCTATGTTTCTACTATTGGATCTACGAGGCTGCTATTAATGGGGGGATCTTTTGATTCTCTGTTGAAAGAGTAGAAAGGTGAAGAGATGTCAAACATGATATCCCAACATCCACCTGATTGAGTATATGTTGCTATGTTGAGCAACCCTTGAAGACTAATTTTCTGCTACAAATAAATTCAGGAATTTCTACTCCTTTTATACTGAGGTGTTTGACTTGATGTAATGGAGTTGTTGTGAAAAAGATGTCAAACATGATGTTGTGACATCAATCAGAGGATATATTGTTGAGCTTAGTAGCTTTTGAAGACTAACTTTGATTGTTGTAATCTAATTTTTAATATGTTTATTTGTTTTAGCCAAACTTTTCCAAAGGGGGAGATTGTTAGTTCTTTGATTTTATGATTGACATCAATTTTAGTAAAACAAATATAGCAGCAATATGTTAAATAGGATGAGTTAACTTGCTAAGAAAAACAGGTTGAACAAGAAGTCCTATGTTATGAAGAAACATGCTGAGTTGATATGTTTCATCAACTGAAGTAACATGTCGGACAAGATGTCCTATGCAGAGTTATTCGACATCGTGACTGTGTTGAGCTGGGTTGTTGGACCGATTTAAGATTTAACGGATAAATAATATTTTAGGAATATTATGCTATCTTATGTGGCGCTGATTTTAAGGTATGGAAGATTCAAGTTGAACTGAAGAAGAATATTGACTTTCTAATTATGGAGACAAATTAGGAAGGTTATGATTGAAGACCTATTTTTATGCAGAAGATTATGCAGTGATTTAGTAGTTGATTTGTTGTGTTCCTGAAGCCCAATCCAGTCCAGAAGATTGTTACAAATAGAAGGTTAAAAACCTAGTTTTAGTATGGAATAGATTAAAATGTTTCTTAAGCCTTTAGGGTTTGTATTCCATCGATATTTGTGAGCTAGTATAATATCGTCTTAATAGAAGAGTAGGATTCTTATTAGTTGAATTGTAACTATGTATCACTCATGAGCTTTTAAGCATAAAATGGAGTATTGTTCTTGGAGGAAGCTTGTAAGCAACTCCAAGTATTATTTTTAGTCAAGAGTCTTGGCTAGCTAGTGGTCTTGAAGTATGCTTACTTCTTGATTATGTGTCTTTGAAGAGTGTATTATATGGTATTGTTGACTATTGAGTTGATATCACTGCAGTCATTGGGAATTAATAGGTATACTCATATCTAGAAGTTTCTAGGTGGAAGTTGTATTGGGTAGGGATTAAGTGATAAGTTGTAAAATGGGGAGTTTAGCTTTGAATTGATACTACTGATAGTAGATTTCCTTCCTAGCTTGGTAGCCCCCATAGTAGGTTTGACGATTCACCGAACTGAGCTAACAATTCTGCATGTTGTTTACTTACTACACTGTTTATAGTTACACTTGTTCATTGCGTTGTTGTTCAGAAATAATTGTACCAGTATCTCTTAGGACATCTTTGATATGAATATCAGAATTTCATGTAGCTTCTAAACCACCTTTAGGAGATGGAAGGTGCCAGTTGTATGTATCCTCATTAGGAGGAATAATTGTATCTCTCATCATTGGTGCTTTACCTTTGTCTCTAGTGTTATTACCCACTTGAACATATGTTTGTTTTGGATCTTTCCCTTTTTTATTCTTCAAGCTTTCCTTTTTTATCATTTTGACCATGTAGGTTGTCTCTAAGAGACCTCCACTTGCAAATATTAAAATGATGGCCAAAGCATTTGCAAAAATTGCCATAGTCAGGCAATTTTTTGGATTCCAGTTCCACAAAAAAGGTGAAGCCTTTTCTTTCCACAAGCACCTTATCCCTTAGACCACTTGTAACTTCCAAGTTTACCAAGACTCTGGCATAATGCCTAAAGGGCCTATCAAAACTTGGTTTATTGGTGGCAGTATCAGTTCATAGGGGAGTTTTGATGCTACTAGCAATAGCAAAAGAATTTTTGGCCTTCAGTATTCATGTGAGAGACCATAGATTCTAAACCAAACTTATGTAGAGGTTTGATAAATTGAAGTCCTTACTCCAGGGGAAAAGCTTGAGAAATTATGGTTTCAGGTTCCATGAACTAACTGCTTTAACCCTTCTAACATCCTCGAGGACATATGAGTGTGGGTATTATGTCATGAAACACATGTTAAACATTGTCCTTGCCAACATTGTTGATTCATGGGATAAGGTATATATGTCATAATATGTTTACATATATTAATATATAAGTTGACATATATTTTAAACACTTTTTTGCTCTTTCTTATGTAGATGTTTAACGACGTAAACTCATTCCCCGTTGAGGACTTTATCGATCTTCGTAAATGTTGGACGTATATCTACAATGTGCTTAAGGGTCCTGCTATTTGATTTATTGATATGTGCTAATGACTTATTAATTTTTGTATATGATGATGTGAATATTAACACTTTTGACTTAAACATATTATCTTTGATGTAAATATTAATCTTGGCTTTTGATGCACAATGTTAGATATTTTTATGCTCTTTCTGCATGGTTAACAAAAATACGGGTTTCTGTAAATTATCTGATATGGTTATAATAGTTACAGGACTAAAAATGGGAAGAATTTGAGAAGCAGAGAATTGCAAATTTAAAATAGAGGAAGTTTTGACAGCGACTATAAAACCTAACTGTGATTGTATATTAAAGGGTAACCAAAATAATATCAATAACAAAGTGTTGATGTTGAGAATCGAACTTGTGACCTTTAGTTCTATCACAACGGTTGGGTAAAAGAACTGTTGTGATATGAAACACGCTTTCTAGAATACAACAACGGTCCCATGACCATGATTGTAAGTACCTCATATACAACCACACGCTACATAACAACGTCTGGTTCCGCGTGGTTATAGATCTTTCCCAACCATTATTAAATGAGTTTTCCGTAGTAGTGCTCTAAGGTGAAAAAATAGAATTCATGGTACCCTTTTCCTAAAGAAGTGATACCCCACTTGCCTATTGAACTCCAAACAGTAGCTACCTTACTTTTTAAGGCAACTACAAAGAGGAGAAATACCTTCAGGCCATATGATCCTCGTATAAAGGTTATTTTTGCAGGCTTCTGTTTCAAGCTGGTATTATTCTTCAGGGATGGTAATGAAGACTATTGTCTCCTTTAATGCGTGATTTTGGGAGTTGACTCACTAGAATATCACAAACATTGTGGATGGCTTTAACAAATGATCTTTGTTGTTTAAGAGGATTAGGGTTAAATGTTACTAGGGTAATATTTGATGAAGTCTCGATCTCATTGATGAAGAGCCAAGGAATGAAAGGATCCACCATGAAAAAGGTAAACATAGGTCAAGAATGAAAGGATCACCACTCTTTCTCTTTCTATCACTAGACGTCTTATATAGAAATCATATTTAAAAAGATATACTAAAATATTTACTTTTCAAATTAATTGAATAACTAATATACTTAAATAGTATATAAATCAGATACATTAATTATAAAATAAATTTAAAAAGTAAATTTTTTCTTATAAATTTTTTCTTATTAAGCAAATCAAATCAGAGCGAGTAAATAACTAACATAAAGGATTAGCAGTATATTTATATATATCTCATCAATTACCTACTTGTAATGACTGCCTAGACCTAATCACTCATTCCTACCAACGAATAAATTTCTATTTTTTAGAGAATATTTCTTTCTTTCTCTCAATCAATGAAAATACCCCATATTTATTCTTGAACTATCATGTCTGACTAGGAAACTATCCACAACACGACCCACCCACGCATTGTCCCCGTGAATCAATTATTGCCACCTAACTCTAGACTCCCGTTTTAATGAAAAATACATGTAATTTCCAAACCATCTATTAAAACTAAAACTCCAATCAAAATTTTGCAAAAGCAAAATAGATAATACAAGTAGAGTTACAAGGCATCATTGCCCCATTCAGGCCCCATACCTTCTGCTTCCTCTCCTTTATTTAAAAATGAATCGTTTTTGAGGGTGTGCAAGATCAACTATTAATATAGTTTAAAATTTATCACACTTTGAGAAATGTAACATGAATTATCATATAAATTCTAAAATTTGTCACGATAAAATTATTACTAAAATAAAAAATTTCATAAATATTATCATTAGTTAAATAAAATCTCATCAATACATGACTTTCAAAAACTTGACAGTATTGTATAGTAAAAGTGAAAGTCTAGAATGCCTACATAAAGGACCTATATTTATGGGCAGAAAGGGTAGAGCAAACATATATAGTAAAGTTTAAGCAAGTGAAATGAGAGGCACAAAGGGTTATGAGCCACGTTCAAGCTCATCTTGTGCAGCTTGCAAATTACTAAAAAGAAGATGCACACCAAACTGCCTATTTGCACCTTACTTCCATTCAAACGAGTGCAAGAAATTCGCCAAAGTCCACAAAGTATTTGGAGCAAGCAATGTTAGCAAAATACTCATCGAAGTCCCAGAAAAACAGCGAGAAGACACGGTAAATTCTTTGGCTTATGAAGCAGAGGCAAGACTTAGAGACCCAGTTTATGGATGCATTGGTGCCATAGCTTTGTTGCAGAGAAAGATGATGGAGCTTCAACATGATCTCGACATTGCTAAAGATCGTCTTGCTCACTGTCGCGCTATCGCTGCCACTGCCACTGCTACAACCACCGCCGCAATTCCGTCTATCGATACTGTTACTTTGCCTCCATTTCCTGAGTTTTCAACTTCTAATGATCTCAGTGATATCTTCTGTCATGGCTCTTCTTCTCAATTATCGACCCGGCTTGAAACCGTCGACGATTTTAATCAAATTCCATATATATTTTGAGCTTATGGTCTTTTTTTAATGTAAGTGAAGTGTTATGCATATGCTATAAATAAGAACTTCATGATTAATAATGAAGTAAATACATGTATTATTGTTTGTTAATAATTGTTATAAGAGATAAGAATTGGTTTCTTGGCCTTTTATGCAAATTCTGATAATATGAGACCACTTTTGTTTGGTTTAGTTATAGCAAAGAAACGATTTTCCAGGAGTTGTGATGCAGAAAAAAATACTCCTTAAGTGTGAATTGGATTCATTCTAGTGTTGATGATGGAGACCAGTGCATTGATTGGCACTGCCTATAAGTGTGAGACACCATTGCGCACAAAGAAAGCAACATAACACTACTATAGTTGATTTTTTGCACGATTGCTGCACAAAATAGTGGGTCCGTTAATTGGACTGTTTCAATGCAACATGGAGTATCCATTATGATTTTTCTTTCAAGTAACCAACCCCACCAATGGCCCTTGATATTTATCACTCACTATATGGGAATCCAAAGAGTAACGCCAACACACCGAAAGTTTTTATTTCTTTGGGATATGTACATTTCAGATGGTAACATGATGTATAGTGTGACCCAAATGAAAATGCCAACCGTTCAATAAACTATATTCATTATATTCCACAAGGTCATAATCACATAGTTTACATGAAGTCGTGTTTTAATATAGGCCAAATGTTTCATTTGGATCAGAGTTGTTTGGTGAATTGATTAAGTAGTATTTGACACAATATATTTGAGTTTTTGGTACGGAGGAATGAGCATTGACTTGCAAGGTTAACACTTCGACATCCATGCTAATAAGAGAATGAAAAATGATACGAGATTGAGAATAAATTAGAATACCTGCGAAATTGCGTGTCTTTCCTCTTAAAGAAGAAACAATTAACATCAGAAAGCGTGAAATGAGTGTGGATCACATTCAGTCGTCAAATTTATCTGGATGGTCAATCTAACTCTAATGAACGGAATTGTATGCCTTTAGGAAATAAAAGGTCTACAAGTTATGCATTCTCTACTGCTTCCAATATATAACTAGGCCTTTCGTCTTGGGTCATGCAAACGACCTAGAAAAATTGCCTCAAAGCCCTTGTCTATGCTTGGACGTAGATTTTGTAACACCTTTCTAAATCCCATAATTAACTCACGAATAAATTAATAATAATTCATTTAACATCACCACTCAAGAGTGTCACACTTCATAGAAAACATCATAATAACAATCCTGCTCCGTAACATGGGTTACACCAATCTTAAACATGCATACAATCATGATTCAACACATTATTTAAAATCGTCGCAGCGGAAATCATCGTCATAAAACAACTTCATTCATCTTTCAAAATTCAAGTATGATAGTCTCATCAAAAAGTATAATTAAAACACTTTAACATTCGATAATCTCATAAAAACATGTTAATAAAAGTACATCATTCACAAAATATAATGTTTCCAACCCGATATTACATATCATATCAAGAGACCACTAATGAAACAAACTCAATAAAACACTCTGAAGCTATCATCGACACTTCTACAAACTACTCATGATCACCTGCGCGTTACCACGTGGAGGTAACATTCAAATAGAAATGGTGAGTAATCACAATTTATTATAAAATATATAAGGAAAAGACGAGTAACTATAACAACATCATCATATAACAACACATATTAGTCATCAATACTTCATGCTCACAGATCATTAGATGCTCAATCTTTGACAACTTTCTTTTTCATACCGGGCCACCAAAATAATTTATTCAAGTTCTGATACATCTTTGTAGCACCGAGATCAATACTTAATCAACTTCGATGTCCTTCCTCAAGAATAGTTTTCTTAAGTTCGGACACATCCGAAACACAAACTTTATTTCTGAACCTCATCACACCATTTTTATCAACTCGAAATCCACCTCAATTACCTTGGTTAATTAACAACAATCGGTCAACCAAACTAGGATCATGTTTCTGACTTTCCCTAACCTCTTCAATAATACCGCTAGTCAGTTTCAACAACCCTAACTTCACACTATTAGAAGTCTCTTAAAACACTAAAATTAAGTCTCTGAACTGTTCGATCATTTCCAACTCACGCACCATAAACATTGACATATGCATGGATTTCTTACTCAAGGCATCAGCCATAACATTTCCTTTACCATGATGGTAACTCAAATAAAAATCATAAAACTTCAACAACTCAATCCATTTTATCTGCCTCGTATTTAATTCCTTCTGATCAAACAAGTACTTCAGACTCTTATGATTATTGAACACCTCAAATCTGGATCCGAACAGATAATGTCTGCGAATTTTTAACACATACACTACAACAGCCAACTCTAAGTCATGTGTAGGATGATTCCTTTCATGAACCTTCAATTGTCTAGAAGTATAAGGAACAACTTATCCATTATGCATCAACACAACACCAAGACCCATCTTCGACGCATCACAATACACCATAAAAGATTCACTCAGATTAGGCAAAATCAATAGTAGAGCAATTGTCAATCTCTTATTTAGCTCCAAAAAACTTTCTTCACATGCGACATCTCACACATAAGCTTGACCCTTTTGAGTCAACTAAGTTAACGATAAGGATAACTTCAAAAAGTCTTCAGTAAACCTGCAATAATAACCAGTTAAACCAAGAAAACTTTGAATCTCAGTTGCAGACTTCAGAGTTTTCCATTGCATCACAATATCAACTTTAGAAGGATCAACAACGATTCCGCCACTAGAAATTACATGGCCAAGGAAATTCACTTCCTTCAACCAGATAGGATAAAGCGAAGGTAAGATCTACAGATGATCTACGATCTTAACAATGATAATGCAAAGGTAAGATCTACGGACGATCTACGACTTTAAAAATGATAACATGAGAGTAAGATCTACGGACGACCCACGACCCTATAAAGATAATGTGAAGGTAAGATCTACAGACGACCTACGACCTTAAAAAAGATACAATGAAGGTAAGATCTACGGATGACCTACGATCTTAAAAATGACAACATGAGAGTAAGATCTACGGACGACCTACGATCTAAGAAAAGATAACGTGGGGGTAAGATCTACGGACGACCTACAACCCTAGAAAAAGTAAAGTAAGGGTAAGATTTACAAGCGACCTACGACCCTAGAGAAAAGATAACGTGAGGTTAAGATCTACGGATGACCTACGATCCAAGAGGAGATAACGTGAAGGTAGGATCTACGAGCGACCTTAAAAAAGATAAAGTAAGGGTAAATTCTACGGGCGACCTACGACCCTAAGAAAAGATAACGTGAGGGTAAAGTCTACGGGAGACCTACGACCTTAAAAAGATAACGTGAGTATTAAGAGTTGAGGAGTGCAATGTACTGATACCACGACTTTTGTTCGGTAGTGTAATGACCGATGTCAACTAGGAATTATAAAGATGATATTCTTTGTGGGGATGTTTTGTAGATTTGGAATTGATTTGAGGATTTCGGGCAAGGTACCAAATCTGGCTAATGTTTCAGTATGCATTTTGAAGTGTAACATGATGATTCATGGATATGTTATGCGTTCAAGGGTGTAATGTAATACGCAATGATGATTATTGTATGCAAAGTGCCAAATATTAGGCTTATTAGGATCCATTGCCCGTTGTCTTGAGATACCAATATGGATTGATGTTTGAAAACTAAGAGAAATGAGTTATAGCCTTGTCTAGTTCACAGGGGATTAAATATTGTTGATGAGGAGTAACTTGATCTGACCTTCTTCATATGCTGAACTTCTTGTGAATGACTGAGTAGATACGTGGATCTCATCAAACTTCCAAAGCTTCTCGGTGTTGGAGAGACGGGTGCTCAACCGTTTGTAAGGAGGTGACGAAGACGAAAGCTTGGTCGAGGTGACTGTTATGACTTGCTACCTGAACAGAAAAACAAACACTTGAACATCATGGCATTCCCTTGGGATGCATTCATATCCATGTAATGTCGTATTTCACATCTTAGCTTGTGATTATTATTGCCTTATTGTTTTTAATGCAATGCTTAACAAAGAATTTAAATCACAATTCACATACGAAAATAAAGTAAAAGGACATAACAAATACTTTTTGGTGGAAGGGAAAATTTTATTAATGAGTTTGGCCTGTGAATAGGCATTCGTACATGGAGGTAACTCCTAAATGAGGAAGTTTCAAAGAAAAGATAGAATACAACGAGTAAAATGGTAATAAGAAAATCTCGAACTTCCTTTAAAACTGATATTGCTATAGTTCCCATATCCCAGATCGCCCTAGTGCCGAGCTTCCGAAAGATAATAGTTGAATTGATCCACCCAGTGTTAGGAGGGTGTACTTGTTATTCATGAAGAGTCTTCAGATGGCAGTCTCTCGCTTTTTGTCCCTAATTTTTGCCTAGATCACCCTATCGGGTTTTCAATCCACCAGGACACTCATTTTTGCCTAAGCCACCCTTTCGGGTTTTCGACTTAGCGGGTTATTATTTTTTCTCCTTTTCTTTTTTAGCCCTAACTTTTGCCTAAGCCGCCCTTTTGGGTTTTGGACTTAGTGGGCCTTTTTATACGTAGTATTTTTTGACTGAGTCTGAGTTGACTGGAAGCGGAACGTCTTCCCCATCCATGTTTGTCAGGATTAGAGCACCTCCTGAGAAAGATTTCTTCATGATGTACAGGCCCTCATAGTTGGGAGTCCACTTTCCTCTTGGATCAAAGTGAATTGGGAGAATCTTCCTTAAAACCAGGTCACCTGTGTGGAACTCTCGAGGTCGAATCTTCTTGTCGAATGCTCTCTTGAGAGCTATTGGTATAACTGACCATGACAAATGGCTGCTAGGCGCTTCTTTTCGATGAGATTGAGTTAGTCGAGCCTTGTTTGAATCCATTCAGCTTCATCGAGTTTAGTATCCATCAGAACCCTTAATGAAGTAATTTCCACTTCGACTGGGAGTACCACATCCATACCATAGACTAGTGAAAAAGGAG